TTCCTTCCTTCCCTAACCCCCTTCAACCTCACATTCCATACCTTTCCAAAGGAAAAGAGAAATAAAGCCCTTCCAACAAATATACAAAGTCAAGCAAAACAAATTCCCAAATTGACTGTGTCAGAGCATGTGTATCTTATTCCACATCTTGACTCCATCACTTCTCTGTAAAGAGATGAGTTGCGGGCAGCTAGGTGTTGCAGTGGATAGAACACTGGCCCTGGAGTCAGGAGGACCTGAGTTCAAATTCGGCTTCAGACACATAATACTTCCTAGCTGTGTGACTCTGGGCAAGTCACTTAACCCCATTGCCTAGCAAGATACCGAGAGAGAGAGAGAGAGAGAGAGAGAGAGAGAGAGAGAGAGAGAGAGATGAGTTGCAAAAAACAAAAACAAAAAAGAGAGAGCAGGTAGGTGGTGCAGTGGATAGAGCACTGGCTCTGGAGTCAGGAGGACTTGAGTTCAAATCTGGCCTCAGACATTTGACACTTAGTAATTGTGTGGCCCTGGGCAAGTCACTTAACCCCGACTGCCTCACCAAAAAAAAAATTAGTAGCATCTTCTGAAATAGTAATCGGTCATTGGATTGATCAGCATTGTCAAGTCTTTCCAAGTCATTTTTCTTCATAATACTGTAATACTTAATAGTACAATTTTATTATTTATATCACTATATATTATATATGTTATATTACACAATACTATAATATTTATACAATATTGTTCTCCTGATTTTGCTCACTTCACTCTGCATCATTTCACAGAGGCCTCCAAGCTTTCTCTGAAACCATCTATTTCATCATATTTTATGATGTACTAATATTTTATTATATTCATGCAATATAATTTGGTTCTCTATTCCCCAATAGATGGGCGTTCCTCAGGTTTTAGTTCTTTGCCCCCAGAAAAGGAGCTTCTATATTTTTGTATATATAGGTATTTCTCTTCTTTCTTTGATCTCTTTAGGGTATAAGCCTACTAGTGATATCATTGGCTCAAAGGTTAGTCACAGTTAAGTGACTTTGAGGGAACAGTTCCAAATTGCTTTCCAGTATGGCTGCATCAATTCATTGCTCCATCAATGGTATTTTCATATGTGTGCCTATTTGCCACAGCCCCTCCAAAAACTGTCATTTTCACCAATTTGATAGGTGTGAGGTGGAATCTCAGAGATGCTTTAATGTGGATTTCTCTAATCATAAGTGATTTGGAATAATTTCTCATATCTTTTTTGCTAGCTTGAATTTCTGCCTTTGAACACTTGATGCTCATAACCTTTGACCATTTATCTATTCAGGAATGGTTATTGTTCCTACGAATTTGAATCAGTCCCTTATATATCTTGGAAATAAGAATACATCAGAGAAATTTGCTGCAAAGATTTCCTTAAAATGATCTGTTTCCCTTCTGATTTTAACTATTTTAGCTTTGTATGAAATGTTTAAATTTATACTTATATTTATTATAATTATATTTATATATGTAATTTTATAAATACTTTTAAATCATTAAAATGATTGGTTTTATCTTCTACAATCTTCTGTATCTCTTGTTTGAACATGAACCCTTTCCCTAGCCATAGATATGAGAAGTAATTTTTTCCTTGCTCTTCTTTGTTTATGATGTCACCCATCTAAGTCATGGATCCATCAGAACTTATGTTCAGATGCTTTCCAGTTTTCCCAGAAGTTATTGTCAAATAGTGATTTCTTGCTGAGGAAATTGAGGAAATTGAGGGGATTAGAACACCAAGTGGTGATGGGAATTGAGTGAACCACATTGACTCCATCTTGTGACTCAGTTCTGGCCCTAACTCAGTTCCCTTTCTATTCAATTATAGATCTAGTCCAATTTCTAGCCTGATAGAAAACTTTATTCAGCTATGGGAAAATTTCATACAAAGTTAAAATAGTTAAAATCAAAAGGGAAACAGATCATTTTAAGGAAATTTTTGCAGCAAATTTCTCTGATAAATTCTCATTTCACCCTGAAATGAGCTGTAAGCTCCTCTAAATGCAAGCTCCCTCCTCAGTGCACCCTGAATCTGTGACTCAGAACTGGGTAGTGACTGCTGAGCTGCCAGGTGGCACCTGTTCCTCTACCCAACACAAGTGTAGGCTTCTTTGTGCAGAACTTAGGACCTCTTCCTACCCCCGTATACAGCCTGTCCTTGTGCTGGGATGTACCACATGTAGCACCTTGTCCCTTCAGACACTTAATTACTGTGTGACCCTAGGCAAGTCACTTAACCCATTTACCTCAATTTCCTCATCTGTAAAATGAAGTCGAGAAGGAAATGGCAAACCGCTCCAGTATCTTGGCCAAAAAAAACCAAACAAACCCTCAAATGGAGTCACGAAGAATAGGACACAACTGAAATAACCCAATGATAACAACAACATAATCCCTAGTGTCCTCAGACCTGTCTGTCTATTTCCTCTGGGCTGGAAAAATGACTGTAATGTTTTTCTATAGATATTCTGACCAGTATTCTTCTAGTGAATTTTCTGGATCTGTTTAGAGGAGCTGTGGGGGAGGAGGGAGCTTGCTATATGCCTTGTGCCACTTCACCCTCTAGGCTCTGCCTCTAGCCTTCTTCATTTCTGATATGAATAATTTGGTTTTCCTCCGTATTTAAAAAAATCAAACTGATTGATTCATTTTGTTCAGGTAGATCTTTCTGAAGGATTTATGGGAGCACACAAATAAGAGTGACACAGAATGAGAAGGCTTGGTAGGCTGAGATCTGCACCACCAGAGGGAGTATTTGCATCAGCGATCATTCATCACGAATCTATTCAAGTGTAATCATTTATATGTCTCTTCTCCCACTTAAGGCGTAAATTTCATGAAGCCAGAGACCCTATCATATTGAAACTTTGCATTCCCCCCAGCCCATCCTGCTGCTCCGTGCACTGTAGATGCTTAGTAAATATTGTTTGACTGTGGAGTTGGAAGGAGCACTGGCTCCAGAATCAGAGGTCTTAGGTTCAAACCTCACTTCCAATGAGTATTATCTATGTAACCTTGGGTAAGTCATTTGGCCTCAGTTTCCTCACCTTGCAAAATGAAGGGGCTGTATCAGATGGCCTCTGAGGTCTTTTTCAGTTCTAGGTCTTTCAGTTTGAAAACCCTAGTTATTGTCTCTTCCATCTTGATAACTCTTAGGCTGCCCCAGCTGTTGAGGAATTCATGAATGTTGGGTGGATGAATGAAATGGATGAAACTGTTGTGTTTTCATAGAAAATGAATGTCCATTAATCTACTCCCCCACCTTCCAAAAACAAATGAGTACCTGGGACGATGGAACTTTGGAGAATGAAAGGAAAGATGATAGAGCGCTCATTACAACGGCTCTGCTGGGACTGCCCCACCCCCGAACATGTTTGCTCATAATAGGGATGAATCTTCATGAGATGATGGGGAAAGGTAGTGAGGTCCATGTGCCAGCTCATAAGTTGTAAGAGGGAGTAAGTCATGATGAAACTGGTGGGTATACCAAGTTGGACATTCTCTTCTTCCTTCCTTTTGTCACGGAGATGTGAATGCTTCCTCCCTTGCTTGCCATGGCAGGGTGGGGGAAGGTGTGCTTTGGCCATTACTGGACAGAATGGGGCAGCTGATTTTCATGTGGACAAGTGACAATTAGCCTTGGAAATCAGCACCACCGGACCACGACCCTGGACAGCAGCTTGAGATTTCCTAGACACCACTGAAGCGCAAGGGCACAGAAAGCCAGGGTAGTTCAATCACTGAGCAGTTGCTGAGATCTGTTTTCTTATACGTATAGAATGAGAACAGTGACAGGAAGGGCTGAATCCGCCCAAGCCAAAGCAGCAAATGGAAGCCAACCTGCAGAGGTCTGAGTCTGGACTAGGTAGAGAACCAGAAGCCTGGGAGACCTCCCAAACCCTCAGCACCTTCCAGGCTTCCCCTGCTCTCTAGGGCTTCCAGTCCCTGAAAGGTGACCCAGACATGCACCTCCTTTAATCTCTCCCATGACCTATAGCAGTAGGTTGTTTGGAACAATTCTTCCATAACCTCAAAGATCTGAGAAGATAAACTGGAGGAAGTTTGGAGATGCAAGAGCGAAGGAAACCACTTGACAGTGTCATTACAACTTGATTATGCTAAGTAAACCACATGGTCACAGAAAAAGTTGACCATGATATCAACATAGGTGGTCTAGATCAAGCTAGAAAATTTCACATATAGCAGGGATGGGGTTCTAAAACATCATATTGTCCTATTTTTTTTATATATATAATCCCAAGGAATCATTTTGTATTATACCTGGGATTTATTTAAAACCTACGTCAGCCAAGGGTTCTTTCTTACTAGGCCTGTTGGAAGTTGGAGAGTTGGGGTGATTGAGTTGCTCACACATGCATGTGGAGACATCTCTGTTGAAGAGTAAAAAGGGCCTGGAAAGGACAATTGGGATGGTGGGTAGCTAGCACAGTTCTTCATCTGGTGGGCAAAAATGATAAACTATACTCACTTCCTGGAAGCAATGCTTTGTCTTCTGTAGGCCTAGAGAGAATTCTCTATAAACATTTTTAGGGTCCTTAGTCAAAGATTAAGGGGCAGCTAGGTGGCACAGTGGATAGAGTGCTGGGACTAGAGTCAGGAAAACTCATCTTCTGAGTTCAAATCCAGCCTCAGATACTTAATAACTGTGTGATCCTGGGCAAGTCACTTAACCCTGTTTGCCTCAATTTCCTCATTTGTAAAATGAGCTGGAGAAGGAAATGGCAAACACTCCAGTATCTCTAAAACTCCAAATGGGATCATGAAGAGTTGGACACTATAATCATGAGAGATTCTTGGGTAGAAGCAATGTAACCCTCCTCCCTCATCTCACCCCTATGCAACTTAACAGAGCCCAGGTCAGAACCAGAAGGGAACTTTTAGAGGTCTTTTAATCCAGACTCATCATTTTTTAAATGAAATAACAAGAACTGGGGGAGAGAAGTGATTTGCTCATCAAAAGGCTTGGCTTTAGAACCCAGGTCTCCTGATTCCCAGTCAGAGAGACTCTTATCGTTCAACAAATATTTATTAACCACCTACTGAATAGAGGAGCTGGGAAAGTCATGGGATTATGGGATTTAGAGCTGGAAGAGAGTTTAGAGATCCTCTACTTCAATTCCACTACTTAACATATGGGGAAACTGAGGCCCAGAGAGGGCATGCAAATGACTTGCCAACGTCACACTGGTAGTAAAGACCTGAGCTTGGATTCCAATCCATGTCTTCTCAATCCAAATCCCTAGTTCTTTCTATGTACCATACTGACTCCTCATACCCAGAATTATATCTGAAGGGAAAGGTCTATGCTGACCTAGGGTGAGATTAAATTCTGCTGAAGTTTTGCTTCTGGATGTATATATAGTTGCAGATCTCAGTGACCAGGATATACTGTTCAAAAGCAGATTTCTGCCTGAGGGCACTAATTATCTGTGACTGCTCCATATTTCAGAGTTTAATGCCTGGGGCAAGGACTCTCCTGGAGAGGAAATGACCATTCCAGCTAAGTCTCTGAGAAACTGCTAGACCTTCCTGAAGAGAGGGGGAAAAACTGTTAAGAATTTGTTTCTCAAGTCGAATGACTGGATGGCTTCAGTCTTCTGCTAAAAGAGATGTCTTAGATAGTAGCAGAGCCTATTCAGTCTCCTAGAAACAAGAGATAGCACCCAAGCTGAGAATTTCAGATAAAGTCAGAAGCTCCATGATCTCACACCCAATGGAATCATGCCTAGCAGCAGAGAGCTGAGACCTTGAGACCAGGAGAACTACCAGAAAAGTAGTCATTTGAGGTCAGCCAGAAGCAACACATAGCTGAGACTGTATGTGCGCAGCGAGGAGCAAACTCAATAGAACTAACTCGATGATGTCATCAGGGACATCATTAGCCCTGTCACACTAGAGAGATGAATTGCCCTTCCACACATGTGCCCTGGCCACACACACCTTTCCTACGCGTCTGCCTTTCCGCATGTGTTCCTTAAGAGTATCAGGGTTTTGGAGGGAAATTTTTTATTGCTAGTTTCTTACTATTCTGTATCATTAAATAGCTTTGATTTGAATCATGTCCTTTGATTGACTAGTTGAGGTAATTGGAGAGGGCTTATAAGCTATGGGCCTTGTAAGCTGTGATACAGACACACAGGGTACCTTGGATCATCTTGTCTGGGGCAGTAGAGTTGTGGCATCCCAAAGCACAACTCTGAGCTTCCCCATCAAGGTATGCAAGCAGACTCTGGGAATGCTGAAGAGTATGCCAAGTGAGCATGACTGGGGGGAGGGTCTGAATTGGCACTCAGATCCAGGGAATCCAGGGTCTTACACATCCCAAAGGCAAATTCTGGAAAATGTTCAGGGTCAAGGCCAGTGACTATTCTCTCTGTCTGACCAGACTGAGGGGAAAGGGAGTATGTGTCAGTCTCTCATTCCATGGGACAAGTGTCATTGACTGTCTGGAAGTCTGGCCATAACTGTAGCAACTCCTGGGGCTTGAAATGGTGAACCAGGGCGAGTTGATGGAAGGCACAATGTTCATATTCCTGCCGGATGATCAAAAAAGCATCAGGAGGGGCAGGTGTGGGTTTTATCCCCAGCTCCTGGATGCACAATCCAATAAACACATCCTCCAAGTAGATGGCCTTGACTCTCTGGGCCATAGCCAGGATCCTAATGGCCAGGGAGGCAGACAGCACATAGCCTGGGCCGGCACAGTATACAGGGTACTTGTCTTGGGGATACAGCTCAGGTGGCATGTACCACTTGTCATCCAAGCTCCGTTGGGGTTCTGAGTCAAGGTAGATGTAACCTGTGATAAAGTTCAGCTGTGTGGGTCTCTCAGGATGCAGCACCTGATGTACTAGGAAGCTGGGGTTTAAGAAGACGTCACTGTCCACCTTGAGCACATAGTGGGCAGTGGGACAGTACTGGGCCATCCATTCCAGCCCCATGAGGACCTTGAGAGTCAAGTTGCGGTATGTATCCAGGAAGCCCACCTGAAGGATATCGCCATGCTCCTTGTCCTCCTCCTCCAGGAGGGCCTGAATTTCTTGAGCAAAGAGGGGTTGGGGCAGGCCAAGAACAAAGACACGACAGATGGCCACATTGGGCACCAAGGTTTCGTTGCCCCATGTTTCCCGGATGACTTGGCGCACCCCCACCTCCTGGGGCTGGGTCATCACCAGCATGAGCAGGAAGGGGGCACCTTTGGGACCTTTACACTTGTCAGGATGGTTGATCAGGAAGGGGTAGGGATAAGGATAATTCAGGTCCAAGGGGTGTGGTGTCCGAGCCTGCCACTCAAACTTCCTCAAAGAGATCCTTGGGGATGGAGGCCTCAGATTCATTGAAGACGTCCAGGATTCTAGCAGCTGACCCACCAGCAACCCCAAGAAAACTGTGCCCAGCAGAGCTCCGAGCACCAGCCTTCGCCTTAATAGCTTCATGGTACCAACGTCCTGGGCAGAGAGGAATGAGAAGGCCGGTTTAGTGATGGGCACTTAGGCCTGTCCAGATCTCCACGCATCTTTAAGCAAGCTGTTTTCTGGTGCAAGAGACCTGGATTTGTAGATCTGGGAGCACTAAAAGAGTTAAGGGCAGGAGAGAAGGGAAGCAGGGTCCCCCACCTACACTTTATGCCAAGCTAGCTACCAATTTGTCTGAGTCACAGAGAGAGAGGGACAGGTGAGCGGGCTTGAGGAGCCTGTACTGTGGAGGGGAAAGAGTCCTGAGTTCCAGTCCCGGGGTGGGGGGGCCCACTGACTTATTGTATGGCCTCAATAAATCCTTTTCCCTCTTCCGGCTTTAGATTTCCCCATCTATGAAATGAAGCTGTGAAATAGATTTTGTCCAAGATTTCCTCGACCCTTAGACTTGTTATGTGAGAGAAAAGGACTGAGGGTCTGAAGAAATCCAGAGTGTCTACGTGGGAGAAGTTACAGGCTTGTCATGGCTGATTGTGCCGAGCAGGTGGAGGGAGGGTCTATACTTGTTCCCTTATACTGGGAACTGTGTTGTGAAGAATAGAAAATATGGGTGGAATTTTTCTTTGTTTCCTAGAAGGAGTACTGTCTTCCTGAATTCTTCCGTGTCTGATGAGCTGATCCTTCCTTCCCAGCCAGAGCCCCAGTCCCACAGCCACAGGGAAACCGGTTCACTCCTGGGAGACAGGATCTGGACCCAGAATTCTGGTCCTAAAAAGTCCAAAGTCTATCCTAAAAAAAGGCCTTCTCTCCACTCTTCCCTGCCCTGACCCCAGTTCGAAAATACCCACTTCCTTTCCTAGGGTGATAGAAGCCAGACTCTTGGGTTGTTGCCATCAGAAGACCAGAACTATGGTAGGGAAGGTACCTGCCACTCACCCTTGGTGCCTAGCCCCAGAATCTCAGCTTTCCTTCAGTGTAGGGAGACAGACTCAGTGACATGCAAATAGCGAGTACTTGATAAATGCTTCTTGAAATAAATTCTTCCCCCAAGAAATCCAGGGGCCTGGCTTGGGGATGGTCTCCAAACTTTTTCTCCCAGATTCCCTCCCTTTATTTCCCCTCCCGTCTAGCCCAAATGGGTTGAGGTCCTCACCCTCTTCTCTGGCTGCGTCCTGGGATGCAGTGGCACAGGAAGACAACTCAGAGGGAATGCCAGACACCTGGTCAGAGAGGGACAGATATGGGAGGAGTGTACAAGCGGGAAGAGGAGGGCACATACCTGGCTGCCTAACTTACTTAAGTATTGGGTGGGGCAAATCACCTAGGCAACAGGGAAGCGTGGCCTGCCTAACCCTGCCTGGAACTCTCCTAGAGAATTATAACACTAGCTCACATTTTTATAATATTTTAGACTTTACATACATTTTCTCTGTGACACCAACCCCCATATGGAGCCCTTCTATCCTCTCCCAAACCCTGGGAGGTTAGTGCAATAATTATTCCCATTTTACAGATGAGATTGACAGGTTAAGTGACTTAACCAAGTTCACACAAGCAGTGCCTGAGGCCAGATTTGAACTCAGCTCCTCCTGACTCCAGGTCCTGTACTCTAGCCATTGGGCCTCCTAGTTTTACTTATTTCTATACCCTGTAGTTTCCACTCAGATTGGGCCAGCCAGTAACCAAGGAATGTGGGTGGGAGTGAGGAGGAAGTCACCAGAAATTATACCCAGAACTGTGAACCCAATGGGACTGTTGCAAAATGTTGTTAATCATACTGCCTTGGGTGCCATGTTAGAGCTGCCCACCAGGGGACCACAGCGGGCATCCAGTATAGGCCAAAGAAGCTCAATGGAAGGGGCAGCTAGGTGGTGCAATGGATAGAGCACTGGCCCTGAAGTCAGGAGGGCCTGAGTTCAACTCTGATCTCAGACCAAACACTTGACACATACTAGCTGTGTGACCCTGGGTAAGTCACTTAACCCTTGATTGCTTCAACAACAACAACAACAAAATCATAATGGAGAGAGAATATATGGCATGAAGCTGACCATGCAGAGTCGGGGTGGGGGGAGGGGTCACTCTGCCTACAACATAGAGCTAGGATATTCCACCCCTCTCTCTCCCAGTCACCTGAGGTACCTCGTAGTATCTCCCTATTCTAATTCTCCTTCCTCCTGTTGTCTCCTTTCCCCCATTAGATTTTTTCTGTTGTTTTTTGGTGAGGCAATTGGGGTTAAGTGACTTGCCTAGAGTCACACAGCTAGTAAGTGCCAAGTGTCTGGGGCCACATTTGAACTCAGGACCTCCTGACTCCACTCCCATTAGATTGTAAGCTCCTTGAGGGCAAGGACTGTCTTCCTTTTTAATTGTATACCCAGTACTTAGCACAGTGCCTGGCACATAGTAGGAGCTTAATAAATGTTTATTGGATTGTCTAGATGTCAGAGACCACTGCAGGCAGACCTGCCAGAGCCTAGATGGGGAAGGAGCCAGAGGAAGAATAGCAGAGAAGATTCTGGAGTGCAAGTTGGGAGTAGGAAAGACAGCAAGTGATTGTCCCAGGGAAGAATGGAGACGCTTTTTGACATTGAATCCTCTGATGAAAGGTTTAGTGAGCAAACAAAAGTCAGGGTGGATATTTCTCCCTTTCCCCCCACTGATTTGGAAAGTGACATACAGGAAAAAGATTCCCTAAAAGGTCATTTGAAATGTTGAGAATACACACTGAAAAGTGGGAGCAGGAGTGGCAAGAGGGAAGGTTCTCATGGATTTATCAGAGTGAAGAACAGCTGTTAATGTTACTACATTTTAAAATTCCAATGTCAAGCAGCAAGTGTATTCTAAATTATAATGCAAATGTATTTTCCTTTTGTGTCACATGAAGTTGGGAAGGAGACAAGAATCTGAGTGGGAAATAGGGACAAAATAAAAGCCAATCTGTAATCAATTTATGAAATTCTGTATATTTACAATTTTACATTTTAAACCCCAGACTGAGTTGAGTCAGAAACCTCAGCCAAAGCATTGGGAGGCAGGGAACCCAACAGGCTCCTGGACACTAGCACTTACCCATCTGTTTTTCCTCTTCTGGTGCCCAGAATAGTCAAATCAATTCACAACTCCACTAATACTGAAGTTGTGTGTGTGTCTGTTTCCGCCCAGACCCTCCAGCATTGACTAGTTCCATCTTTCATCACCTTTGCCAGTTTGATGCATGTGAGATAAAATCTCAGAATTATTTTCATGTATATTTCTCTTATTATGTGGGGCAGGTGCTTTGGCAAAGAGGAAAACTACCTGCAGCAACAATATCAGCCAGCACTTCACACATGGGTAGGGGGTAAGGGGAACCAGCCCTCTACATAGCCTCTATATGAATACATGGAGGCAGAGAAGAAGTTCAGAGAACACTAGTTGTACAATTTGGTAGCAATGTGATGTGTGTGAAGAAGAGCTGTATAAACCAAATCTGAAAAAGTGGGTAGAAGCCAGATATTAGAGCTTAATGGTTACGTAACCTTCCACCCTTCTGACTTCCCCCTCTGTCAATGAGAGTGGGCAGAGAAAAGGCTAGAGAGTAATAGTGATGATCCTGGCTATGAGTTGTTCCTTTGGAGCCCTTGGTTAAGAGAGAGAGGGATGAGTCAAGGATGACTTCAAGGTTACAAATCTGGGTTTGTGGGAGGATTGTGGCATCCTCAACAGAAATAATGGAGTTTGCCACAGGGGTGGGTTAAAGGGGAGAAGTTGGTGAGTTCTTTGTTGGACAGGTTGACTGGGAGATGAGTATCATCACCACAGTGCTGGCAGCAGCCCCTGCATTTTCTGAGAAACAGCTTAGCTAAGTTCCTAGAGGATCATCACCAGTAACTGGTCATTTGGGTAATTTCATGGGCCCATGAAACAAAGAAAAATATAAAATGGCTTTAAGGCCAATGTGGTCTCTCTTGGCTTCTGCAGAGATGGAAGCAGAGGGGAAGAAAAGGACATGACAAGAATCACACAGTTTTTAGACCATCTACAAATATTAACTTAGCTGTTGGCATTCTAAATGTGAGCTCTTTGTCCTGTGAATGGATATACTACAGACGTACTGGATTATATTAATCTAGAGATTCTTGGTATAAATTAATTAATCAATAAACATTTATTAAGCACCTACTATGTGCCAGGTACTATGCTAAGTGCTGGGGATACAAAAAGAGTCACAAGATAGTCCCTGCCCTCAAGAATCTTATAGTCTAATGGGGGAGACAAGATACAAACAAATATATACAAAGCAAACTATATACAAGATATATAGGAAATAATCAAAAGAGGGAAGGCACTGTAATTTAGAAGAGTTGGGGAAGGCTTCAAGGTAGGATTTTAGTTGAGACTTAAAGGATGCAAAATGAAATTGTAGGGAAATGATAGGGTTCATAGGTTTTGCTTAGAGAAGCAAATCAAGGAGCTGATGAGATTTATTTTATTCTGAGTCCAAAGGCAACAGGAAGCATAATTTCATAAGATATTTGGTCTTTTCTTTTTAAAAATTCATTAATGTCTTTTGTTTTATAACATATTCATTTCCAAATATATTCCCCTGCAAGTCATCCCTTGTAGCAAAGTTTTTAAAAGAAAGAGAAAAAATTCAGTTCAGCAAAACTAATGGCATATTAAGCACACCTGAGACTACATGCAGTATCTCACATCCATAACCTTCCCCTTCCTCCCTTGCCCCATCCCCCCAGTGAAAACAGGGAGGTCCATTTTCTTAACTCTTCTCTGGGACCAAGCTAGATCATGAAAATTAAACAGCTTTTAATTTCATTTTCTTGTTCATGTCATCGACATTGTCGTAGTCGTTGCAGAAATAATTTTCCTGGCTCTACTTACTTTATTTGATATAAATTCATGTAAGTATCCCCATGTTTCTCAGAATTCATGTTCTTTGTTTCTTATGGCATAGTAATGTTCCATTGTAGTATAACAGAGGCTTGAGAACTGACTGGAGTCCTGGGATTTGTAGTTCAGAGGAGCAAGGATTCCCTCTCAATTCTTAGAGCAATTTGGGACTATGCCAATCTTTCAGCTAGAAGGTGGACTAAGGCATGCCTTAGAGTTCTTACAAGGACATGGACAGTCTGTGAAACACAAACCAGGAGGAAGGAAGGGAAGCTGAAAGAACTGGACAGCAGCATCCCCAGTTTTATTCTACTGGGCAAGCTTAGTGAGCTGAACTGGAGAGAATGGGTGGTCCCAGGCAATGGGCTAAAGGAGAAACTGAACAGAGACTGAAAGAAGGAAGTGAAAGGAGGGTTGAGGTTTTCTGACTGTGAGGTTACACCTCACAGTTTGGAGCAGCCAGGTGGCCCAGTGGATAGAGCACTGACCCTAGAGCCAGGAGGACCTGAGTTCAAATCGAGACTCAGACACTTACTAGCTGTGTGACCCTAGGCAAATCACTTAACCCAGATTACCTCAAGAAAAAAAGTAAGCTTTATGGTTGTTTTGATTTGTATTTCTATTATTGCTGATGATTTGAAGCAGTCTTTCATATGGTTGTTAATAGCTTGAAATTCTTTTGAGAACTGTTTGTTCTTATCTTTTGACCACTTATTCACTGGAGAATGGTTCTAGGGCTTACATATTAGTGTTAATTCCCTACATATCTCAGATATTAGGTGTGTATTTGAGATATTTAATACCAAGATTTCTTTTTCTAATTGATACCTTCACCTTCTTATCCTAGCTTCATTTATTTTAATACAAAAGTTTTTTTAATATGACTGAGATTATTAGTTATTATTTCATTATCTCACCTATCCCTTGTATAATTAAGAATTCTCTCCCCTAACCATAACTGTGAAAGGCTTGAAAAAGAAAATGAGGCAAGCTAGTAGACAGCTTACTCTTATAGATCACAGAGAAAAAGAAAACCTTCTGACACTAGTCTGTTCCCCTGACTCTCAGTCTGCAATTATCTTGGAGGCAGCTGCAATCACTTGAGATCAATCAAAGGAGTTCTTTGTGTCCTCTCAGCAAAGGTTCATGACTTATCTGCCTTCATTGGAGGTGCTGTGGTGTGTGAAAGATGAAATGACTAGGAAACAAAGGTTCAAGCTTCCAAGAAGATCAATTTATTAAGCATGCATGCCAATTGTCTAACAAATCAGGACCAGGCCCCTTCCTCAGCTTAGATCTGGACCTCAAATATAGGGGGATATAGACTTTCATACATTA